TACACTATTTTCTGATCTATGTTATAATGTTTTTTCCTCATCAAAAACATAGCCGACTTGGAGTTGTGTGTTGTTTCATTCACATGTTTAACACGCAAACTCTGCATATTGAGGCTACATTTATATGATGACGGTCTGAACAGAAGACGCAAAAGTGGAGTTGCGTCTTCACTTTTTATTCCGCATTTAGACAAGCATTTTTGGGAGGAAATCTGCATGCATACAGTAACGCAAAAAAGTGTAGATTTCGATTTGGTATGCATGTCAGGCAGCAAGGTGGTGATGTAAACATGTACGTGATGTGAGCAGATCTGACCAGAGTTTTGCGTCTTGGGCAGTGACGATGGAAACACTACGGCAGAGCGTATTAAAATTTCCACTCTGGAGGGTGGTTTCAGATTTTTGCGTTTTTAAGCCCGAAAAACGCAGTCACCATCTAAATGAAAGGCACTTTTGATAAAAGATTTTGCCGTTTTGCCACAAGCGTTCTTGTGTAAACAGGCCCTTAGGCTGAGTTCTTCTCAAAATGCTCTGTTCCACCTTGTGATGTCATGAGGTCATACAGGAAGTGCTCCATTGTGTGTTTAAACTCCTTACACCTTCACTAGAATCATTTGGATGATTTCAGAATTGGAATTTTGAATCTCTACTGAGCATAAGTTAAAACCTTTTAACCTAACTTGAACTTCCGCTTCATGACATCACAAGGTGGAACAGAGCATTTTGGGATTTGGAGATATAGATTAACTAATAGTAGAGGATTATTCAAACACAACTCCAGGTCTGTTTTAGGAGGAGGTAACAACATTTCAAAATGACTAAAATCTCACAAGAGTCAATTGTGTGTAATACTGAATCTTTAAAGGTACATTACGTAACTTTTCTGGTGGAGAGTACATCATCTGCTTGTCTCCATGGCGATGTGATTGCTTTGCCATCAACCAAGTTACAGGTCAGATCTGTGTAGTAGCGAGTCTACATGTGTTTTTAAGCTATAAAAACACGCCTGTTCAATAATTGTAACATAGTTAAGTTCAGTGTCATACTGTGGGAAATTCCAGGCAGAGCAACATTTTCATGGAGACAAGCACGTTACATAGTGAATCTTTAATAGAATATCATCAAAACTACCTTATTGCACAAAAGTTTTAGATTGTTTGGATAAATCATTACACAATCACTGGACAATATATCAAAGCTAATCAGACTGGTGAGTTAAAAAGGAACTAGAAGCACTATGGAGACGGATTTGTAGGTTTGTGCATAAAGTACAAAATATTCTAACACATCCCAGATAAAATCAATTTGTTCATAGTTTTAGTTAACCTAATAATAACTGTTATCTGAACTATTACACAGACTCTTATACACGTGTTGGGAAAGCAGGTTTTGTCAGAAAGGCAGCACTGTTAACACAAAAACAAAACACCAGCGATTCTCTGCACATTTCTCACCTCAATTTGGCTAAAATGTGGATAAATGTATGACAAATTGAATAAATCTGAACTAATAATTTGATATTGCAACCATAACATGTGATCTATCCAATTCCCCTTGCAGCAGAATGAATGAGTAACTTTTCTGGAGATCATATTGCTTGTTATTGTCTGAAATGTTTGACAGTATGACATCAAACCTTTCTACTTCTATTACAGGTCAGATCTGTGGAAAGGCAACCCCGCTCACAGTCAGAATACCTGTTTTTATAGGTATTTTTGGGCTATTAAACCACTTATAATTGAATAAATGTAAGGTAGATCTGTTTAATGTCCTACATATGAAGCAGAGCAATGGTATTTCCACAGCAACATGAAGGTGATGGACCCTCAGCCGAAAAGTTACACATTGCACCTTTAAGTAAAAAAATCTCAAAAATCTCCGTTCTGCATATTCCACACCTCAATTTGGCTAAAATGTTAATCAGTTATCATTTGGTTAATTAGGTAAATGACTAAATGAAAACAATTTGAACTTAAAATCAGACATTGCAAACAACTCAACAATGCAGTACTTCTGGTAGTAGTATGAATAAGTTGAAAGTGTACCCAGAGTCATTCACATGCATTTGATTAGAACATAGCAGTGCGTAAACATCCTTCCTCCCCGTTCCATTTACAAGGTCAGAGCCAAATAAAGGCTGGCGCGCCTGGAGTCTCTGGATATCAGCCACATGTTGGAGAACTCAAAACCTCAAGGACGGGAGTGGAAACCTCCTCCTCACATCAGCATCCTCCGTCTGCTCCAGCACAGGATATGAGACCACTACTACTACTACGACTACTACTACAACTACTACTGCTGTTTTCATAGAGACATCTGGACAAATGGTTCTCTTGTGATACTGACAAAAGTGAATATCTTAATCTCTTTTTCTACAATTTTCAAACAATATTATGGAAATTAATCAGAAAATGTGTTAAAACTGTGGTAATTTTCTTATCTTAATCTTATTATTATTACAGTTTAAGCAATATATAGGTCCAATATTTGCACTTACTTACTTAATCGCATCAGCTATTGAGATTAAATCACATTAAATCTCCAAAACAGATGGATATTTTATTTTGGCCGAGCCGCTGCCTAAAGAATACACAACGAACTTTATTTGCAAACTTGAGTACCAAGAGATCACTGCATAAAACGTGATTACACAGTTCTTTTATAAGTCTGTGGTTTAAAAAAAAAAAAGGGCTGTGGGTGAGTTTGTGGCACATTTAAAAAACATAATTTGTGGAATATAACCAAAATCTGCACCATATATTGGTCCACAGATATCAGCAGAACTTTTCAACCATTGGTTTAATCTACATCAGCCATGAAAAAATCCATTTCAGTCCATCCCTATTATACTGATAAACAATACGTACAGGGCTGCAACTATTGACTGTTTTATTAGTCGACTACTCAGCAAATATTTTTCAAGCAATTATCTGTATTGTACACTGAGACTTTTTACACACATTTTTAACCAAATAAAGGTTGAAATATGATGACTGAACGCTTCTAAAAACAGAATATTTTTCCTGAAAATTAGAAATTGGTTCTCTTTTGACATTTAAATTGATGTCCATTTGTTTTGTACTATTTGCTCTGTAGTACACTTAAATCCATTACTCATAGATACTTAATAGGCCTAGATACTAACTAAGTATTGTGCTATTTATTTATTTCTGATATGGTTGGATCAGAGAAATAAAGTGGTCTGCAAAATATCAATGATTATTTCACTCAACTTACTATCCAACGACAAATACTACTAGTTTTTATTGTTCATTATTAACAGGCTGAAGCAGACTATTGTATTTTAAAACTGTAATTATCTTTATTTTACTGTAATAATTTGATTTACTTTGACTCAATACTGAAATACTTTATGAGTATAGAAAAAAATGGTTAATTCTGTTCACATTGATATATAAAAAGTTGGCTAAACAATTTTCATCTGCATAGCATTCTTGTTTGTTATGTAACCAAATGTGCTCTAGATACAATTTGCAGCTTCAAAGAACGTAGGCTCGTTGAACATTTCAGTAGCTTGACCAAATAACATCTGGTCCAAATAGTTTATTGTTACACCCTGCATGTTATCACTTTGCCTGGGTGAAGGTTGCCAGGTATGTTTCACAGTATGGTATTAAATTTATTTTTACACTGAAAATGTAAAAAGAAAAGTCTGTATCTTACTTGAATGTGGACCTATATCCTGGACTCTATCTTTTCTCATGTGCTTGTCTCCGTGGAGATAGAAAAGCTGAATCCCAGACTGCAGAACATTCAGACAAATCAATAACAAATTCACCAAGGAGACAAACAGCTGTTGGTCCTTCCGCCAGAAAAGTTACCCAATGCACCTTTAATGCTGCGTGTAATAAGTGAAGGATGATACTTGGAAATGGCATGGCATTTATCAAAAGTTTGAGCACTACAGGTAGCCAAAAAGGGAGCACTGCAGACTCCCAGAACTCACAAGAAGAAATGAAACTGAAAATTACTATTGCTGTGAAGAATGCGAAGACTGAATATCAAGTATTTTATTAGTCATTTATGGGCTAAGATTAAAAGCTCATGCAAGACTGTAAGATGGACCATGCCAACTCCTGTATTAAGTTTTGTTTAGAAATGTGGTACCAACAAGTAAATACAGCACTATAAAAAAGTCATAGGGTAAGAATAAAACAAAAAGTCCAGCTCAATTAACACCCAGTCTTCTAAAAACAGTAAAATCTAATTTAAAAACAAAAAGAACATGCAAAATAATTCTTGACTATTCCTTTCATACCATGATAATAAAAAGCACTCTTTATTTGGACAATATAATGTGATTATCAACATTAAATACTAGTACTTCCAGGCAGGTGCTCAAAATCATTGTATGAATCTATTCTGGAAAGGTTCACTTCTGTAAAATGAATGTGATTATTATTTTTTTTTAATATCGATACTTGTAAATATAAAATGACAAGTTTCAATGCTATTTTTAGTATCGATTATTGCGTGATTTTCAAAACTCTAAATATTACATTAAATGGAAATCAAAGTCTTATTGGCAGTCCAGATGGCCAAATGGAAGCCACATGTTTACATAGTGATGTGTGATTTTTGAAGTAGCCCACGTTGGTTTACAATCTCAGCACTAATGACAAGCAGTCTAACATAAACTAACTCATAATTAAATCTAAATGTACTAAGTATGGTCATTTGGAGAGGCTTGTGTAATTTAATAACGCGTAACTACTCCTGCATTCACCAAAGCAAAGTTATGATCGGGTTTAATATTCTAATTTCCTGTTAGCGTTAGGTGAGATGCCATACTTGAAAGAAGCACAAACATAAATAAACATGGCGTATTAAAAACACCAGGCCTTATGTCATCGCAACTGGCTGCAGCTTTTATGTTAAACAACCTGCTGCAACAAACTGATAATCTACCAAGCAAGACTTCAGTCACACACACGTCAAACACGGACCAGAAGAAGTTGAATAAAACTGTATTTACTCACCTCCACTCGCGCGTAAAAGTCCAGTTGGTAAAGTTTACGCAGGGGCTTTGGAGAGGGGGGGCGGTTACGTAAGTGGTGGTCCCGTGGGCAAACCTGGGACAGGGAAGGCCGAGCAGGAGGACAAGTTCACGGGCACGGGGACTGCAGAGCGGCGGAGTGTCGCTGTGAGTCCCGAAGCGCACGGGCAGCTGCGTTTACTGAGATCACGACAAGGCGGAGTGAGTGCGCCAGCGTGAATCTGGCACGACCTTTCAAAATAAGACATTAAAAAAGTGCAATGGGTTGCGCAAGGGGATTTTCAAGAGGGAGTGGGAAATACAGTATGTGCTCTCTGTACAAATTCTTATCTCTACACATAATTTTCTCGGTGCCAAAAGGAGCTGGGTGCAATTCATTTTAATTGCAGATTCTGTCAGCAAATGGCTTGATAGGACATCGGTAATATATTATAATTTGAAATACGAAGTAATATATTTGAAGTATTTGGGGATTTTGGTTTGTTTGTTTGTGAGTTTTACGAGAAAAGTGAGTTCATTAGCCTATTTGAAAGATAAGTTTATGAGTAGTTTGTGAGTGTGTACAAGTAAAATTAGAAATATTGCATTATGTTAAGCACAGAAAATCCCACCCACTAGTTATTATGTAGTCTTCTTTCTCTTGGGTAGATTGATCGTGTAACAATTAGATATTCATGGTGCATTGTGGCGGAATATGGTCAAAAATAATCAATAAATAAATAAAAATAGGAGATGATCTGACTTCAGGCCTGCATTTGCGCTCAGTGAAATGCTGATAAATGATGTATTTTGATGTAGCCTAGTTCCGGTTTTGTGGTATTTAAGTACACTTGATAAAAAGAGACATGTCCAAAGACGTCAGCCTCCAAACCACACCTCCATGTCCAGAACTAATCGATCAGGGTCTAATTTAGGCCATGGACATTTCACTGTTTACAGTTTGGCAGCGTTACAGCGCGTAATCTCAACAAACTAGCCAGGCTACTTCTTTGGAGGGACTTTTTTTAATTAGGCAGGCGTCCTTTTGAATTACTGATTATCTTTATTAGCTTATAACCTGCATATAATGAAATCATATGAGCAGCATCTCTTGTTTTATAGGCCTACTATGATCCATTTTAATTTTATGGAGCAATAAAAATATTCCTCAAGAGCTGAAAATTAAATGTTGTAATTGTATTGCAACTGGACAGAACGTTCAAAGGTGCATTATGTAACTTTTCTGGTGTGATTCTGCCTCCAATGAGATGTCCTTGCTCTGCCTGGAATGTTTCAATGTAAGGTGTGTGTTTCTATTGCTGAGAAATATCTTAAAACATGCATTCTTACAGTGAGAAAGGTCGCCTCTCCACAGATTTGACCTGTAACGCCCTGGTGGCATCAAATGTTTAGTGTAAGTTTAGTATCATACTGTGGAACATTCAAGGCAAAACACACACACACACACACAAATTAAAGAATCGTAAATTCAATGATTTATTATGTAATTTATAATCCCTAGTGATAACATGTTGCCAGGTTTGTGCTGTCACTATAATCTTGTTCTCATTAGAGAGATATGAATCCAGGTGTCTTTAGATCAGCGTTTGATGATGACCTTGGAGTGAAGGCTGCTGTGGGAAGGAGAAACTGTTCACTCGGCAATTCCAGAACAAGAAAAAAAGATAACATACAAAACAACATCTCAAAATATTTCATTCACAAGCAAATATAAAGAAGGTGAGGTGATGTGAATTTTCTGACCATGACAAATAAAAGGAGGAACTCGGCGTAAAGCTGCTGCTCCATGTCATCAAAACAGTCTTTCTCAAAGTTCCTACATTTAAAAGATTTTATATTATACAAATCTGGTTGTGAGTTTAAGACATGTTAGAATGCTGTTACCTTCACAAAATCATACTTGGAGTTATGTTTTGCTTCATTCACACACTGTATGTTTGAGTTACCATTAATTTTTTGTCTGTTTTGAATTGTTTTGCTGAAAATGCTCTGTTCCACCTTCTGATGTCTTAGATTTATCAGCTACTTTTTATCTTTAGTTCAGCAGAGATTGGCATATTGAGGGCTGAAGTTCAAAATTATTCTAGTTAAGATGTATGGAGTTGAAATAAAACATTTTTAAAAATCAGCACTTTCTGTATTACCACATGGCATCACAAGTGTTTTCTGTTTGAGAGAAGAACTCAGTCTAAATATGCAGGGTTTTGTATTAGACATGTGTGAATGAAACAAAACACAATTCCAAGATTGTTTTTGATGAAAAAGCATCATAATGTAGATCAGAAAATAGCATAATATGGGCCCTTTAAAGGGACCATTTGGAATTTTGGACATAGGACCTCATTTCCTAGTGAGCCAGAGTGTTGGAGACGTGTGGAGACACTTTTTTAAAATATTCCATCCAGTCCTTGTATTTGCAGAGGTCACTGGTGCTAGACTAGTGCATGTCAATGGCCATAGTTATCCTGCCACTAAAAACAGTCTTACCCACTCCACAAAACACCTGAGGCAAAACAATTATAACACCAAACTGTCGATGTAAATGTCTGTCAATAGAATAATGTTTGAAATAAAAGTAACCTTGCATCGCATGAATCGGCGCATGTTGAGAGACTATTTTCTCATATATCAGTCCGCAGCTGCCAAGTTTTGTATCAGAACGTACAACTCGCTGCTGTTCAGACATAAATCCTTTGAATTCAAGGTTGGTTTTACTTTTAAAATTATTCTATGAACACAGACATTTACATCGACAGTCTGTTGTTATAATTGTTTTGCCTCGGGTGTTTTGTGGAGTGGGTAAGACCATTTTTAGTGGCAGGATAACTATGGCCATTGACATGCACTAGCCTAGCACCAGCGACCTCTGCAAATACAAGGACTGGATGGAATGTTTAATAAAGTGTCTCCACACGTCTCCAACACTCTGGCTCACTAGGAAATGAGGCTCTGTGTCCAAAATTCCAAACTATCCCTTTAAGATTAAAATGTTCACGTCTTCACATCACACACAAAAAAAAAAAAAAAAAAAACTACGGGAAAAAAAAACATCAGTATTTTTTTAATCCAATTGAGATTTGGATTATGAAATTGTAAGTTTGCCTAATTAACCAAGGAAGATATTTACTTGAAAACTACTATTGCTGTTCACTGAAAAGTATTCTGAACCTATATTGTTGTAGCTGTTGTAGCTATTGTATCTCTGTTTATATTTTCTGTCCTTGCAAAGTGAAGGGGTAAATTGTCTTGCTCATGAACATTACAGCAGTGAGCACTACCAGTTGCAGGGATCGAACCACTACCTTTTAGATCAGCAGAAATCTACGGCTTTGTGCTCAATGCAACGATTCCCAATTTGAACAGAATTTTTAAACACACAGCAAAACGAAAGACCCATTCCTAACTGTAATTTTCATTTTTCATTTGATTTCATATTTCCTAACAAACTTGTACATGTCTTTTTGTGCGTTATTGAATGTGTACTGAGTAGAAAAGCGGAAATTACAAGACCCCAGAGAGGAAACCAAAATGCTGCCTTCTTGTTTCATATCCACAGCTCAAATAGGGCTTTTGAATTGGAACAATTACTTGACCACTACAGGGCACCCGGGCAGTTAATATCAACAAATAGCCCTATCTTTCCTAAAATATAGCCTAATTCGATCAATTTAAGAAGAATTGAAGGCTTAATTAACCGGGAACATGGTGTAATGTGGGGGGCGGATGGCGAAGGCAACTGTATTTTAGTCTGCTAACCTTTCATAGCAGCGTACGCTAATAAATCCTTCAATTATGGCAGCAAACAAAAGTTACATTTAATATCTGCAACATTTGTTATAATCAGTGAAATGTCAAGAAATTATGAGAAAAGTCAAATGTAGCGTAATATTAGTCTGTTGCATCTCCAGAAAATGATTTGTACTTGAGAAAATGTTAAGATAAACACACTGACTTTTAAAATGTTGTCAGTAACTTTTTTTTTTTTTTTTAACATTGCTTTCTAGTAATTACTTTTTCTATGACTAATAAATAAATGTAGATCTTAAACCAATTAAAAGGGTTCAAATACAATATCAAAATATATTGCAGACTAGTCTTCTTGCAGATGTTATTGCTTTTTCTAGAATGTTCCACAGTTTAGCATTAAACTTTTCTATCTCCATGAAGATGTGAAAGTGACATGACAAGGTACATGTCAGATCTGTGGAGAGGTGTCCCCACCCACAATAAGAATACAGTAAAAAGGCATTAAAAAGACCTGTCAATAAATAAAGTTTATTGCAAAAAGTTTGAACTTTCCAGACAAAGCAATATCATCACCATGGAGACAAGCAGGTGGTGAATCCTACGCAAAGTTACAGAAAAAGTTGCATAGTACACCTTTATTGTTCTTAATGTTCGGCAGTAGCTCAGTTGGTAGAGCATTTATCCACTGGGTTGATGGTTGGTGGTCTTAACATAAACATTAGGGATGTAACAATAACCAAAATATAGTGATATCATATCGTCAAAAGTCTCACAATAATATTGTGGACTGTCACAATATATGAAATTACAAGTTCCTTAGCTTAAATGTTTTGTTTTGTAGTAGCAACAGCTTATAAACATAGGGAACTACATATCACATGATTCATTTCAGTGCCGACAAATGAAGATATATGTTTTTATTTGAATTATTGGGATTATGATGGAGATAATTCACACCAAAATCTTGTCAAGGTATTTTAAAAGCAAGAAAGTCTCCCATTTACAATTATATCAGCCTCTTCAAAATATAGCAATAAATATCGTATTGTGACATGCATATCTTGATAATATCGTACCAAGAGACTTGGATATCGTTACATTCCTAATAAACATCAGTGGTTGAGCGGTCAAATCCACTGATGCACAGGTTGGCGGTGCGATTCCAGCTCCCACAGATAAATGCTGTCATTGTGTCCTTGGGCAAAACACTTAACCCACCTCGCCCCCAGTGTCTGTGTACTCTGGTGTATGAAGGTATGACTGGTTCCTTGTTGTAAAGTGCTTCGAGTGCCTTGAAGATGGAAAAGCACTGTATAAAAACGTGACAAGTTACCATTACTGTTCAAATAATTGTTATAATCAACAAATAATTCCGTCTGAAAACACATGTCATCTTGTTTAATTTTGTG